CACCTCTCTGGGCAGCCTCTGCCACTGCTCTGAACAGTCTTCGCAGAGTTACGGGTTCAGGGAGATGCTCGAGCAGCTGGAAGGCAGAACAGCATCCCGCATCCTAGTAATTTCCACACTGGCCTTAAGGAGGCGAGCGGATTCCAGGCTGGATTAGACCTACGGGTGCAAAGTCCTTTCAAAACTGCAGCTGAAGAGGCAACTCCCCAGAGAAAAAAAAGAAAAGAAAAAAAAAAAAAGTATATATATCTCATGTGCTTGTGCATTCACATGAGCTGAATCGATAATTACCCATTTTATTTTTACAAACAGGTGGATCTAGTGGGTGTGCAAAAACTCCACAGCTATTTGGGGTTTGCTGCCTTCTTTGCCGGGATAGCAGCCATCGGTGGACCTCCTCTAGCAGGTAACTCTGCCCCTGCATCTAATATACCCCCACCGCGGACAACCAGCGCTAAAACACGCTGCTGCTTCGCTCCCCCTACCCATACGCAGCCAAGGATGCTTATTCTGCCCAAGAGGGGGAAAAAAAAACAAAAACCAATAACCCCAAACAGAAATTTAGCTGGATACACAGGCACTATTTCGCTTGTGAATTTGCAAAACCCAACGAGCAGCTGAAGGAAAAAAAAAAAAGCTGTGTGGAAAAAGGGAGGCTAAACACCCCCCCGCCCCCCGCACGCATTTTAACCCCGAGCACGGCATGAAAGTAACAACCACGTCGGCGTGGATTCGGGAATTTTTCCCCCCAACGGAGCACCGTTAACACTGAACTTGGAAGAGAGGGACCGGAGGGGAGGCAAGGAGAGGGAGGTAAATCAAGGACGGGCTCAGCAGCGGTCCCACCGAGCGGAGGCACTGAAACAGCCGCAGTAATCTCTTGTTTTGAAGAAGATTACGCAGCTCAGCCACAAGAGCTCCTGGGCCCAAAGATAAGGAGGATGAAAAGCCTCTCCTCTTCTCCCGCTGCCAGAAAAGCAAGGCGGTTTTGAGTATCCGGCAGATTTCAAGCGCTTCGAAGCGACTCTCCGGTCTCTGCTTACGAGCAAGAGACTTGTTCTCCTCCAAACATCTCAGCCAGGACAAAGCTTTGCCTTTCCCTGGTGGCCCTTTAGCCAAACCTCAGCGCTGGAAAGGAGGACCTGAGCTCTTCCTCAGTCCTCCCGACGCAAACAAACTAGAAAAAGCTGCAAGGTCAAATACGAGGGCAAACGACGTCCCGGCGTCCCTCACCTGGCAAACGTATTCCGAAGACGGAATGAAACTTGGCAACTTGTTCTCCATTTATTGCTTTCCGCTCCCCGCTATCAGCTGCCCCACGTCTGCAGAGGCGCTTTGCTGGAAGCTGCCAAGAGTTCGCTAAATACCAACTCTGGGCTGCAAAAGTTGTTTCACCAGCACACAAAAAAAAAAAAAATTAAAAAAAAAAAAATCCATTTCCCACCTCAATATTTCTAGGTCGGTTAAAATTCTGGATACGGATGCAGTTTCCAGCAACTAAAGCGTTTCACTGACAGCGCGCTTTACACTGTCGCGGTGATACATCGCCTATAGCTCATAAGATCTCTCCTGCTGATACAAGACGTATGGGCACCAGAACGTAATCCCCGTGCAACCGCCGCAGTAAATTCCCTGACGTGGGAAAGGAGAATGTGAAAAGCGCTAAGTGATTGGGCTCTCTCTTATCCACGCGTCACACGCGCTAAGATAGCGGTTACGCTCTCGTCCGCTCCCAATATATTGTCGCTAATAATAAGCCTTTGGCTTTCCGAAAGCGCCCAACCACTCACCGCGTGAACGCTTCTGGATTTTGTAAAGCGAGCAGGTTTCCTGAAAAAAAAAAAAAAAAAAAAAGCCTTCCAGAGAAATCACTCTTCTTAATACTGGTGGGATAAATAAAGGCCAAATAGAGCCAAGGAGCGAAACTCTGGCTGATCCGTGTCACCGCAGGCGGAGTGAGAGGCAACGAAGTCAGAGTTCAGCATCGAGGTTTGTGATCCGAGATAAACTCCGCAATTTTCTCTTGCGACACAGCTGGATTAAGTGTGAGAATTGAACATGACCAGAAGCTACCGATTAAGTGGCCAAAAGCGTCTGCTCCTTAGAGAAGGCAGGACAAGACTGAGACGCTGTGTGAGCCCCCGGAGTTTAGTGCCTCCCACTGCTGCGCATCTCCCTGAACCGTCACTTTACAATTACAATTTTCTAAAACTCAACTATTTTTAACGCAGCGAAACCCAAGGCACAACGAGAACCGCAAAGGTTCAAAATGCTTATATTGCCTGCCAGAACAAAGCCCTAGCGAAACACAACGAAAAGGTGACTTACCTGCAAATCTGTTTAACTAAAAAGCCCTTAAATCCGGAGGCAGCCGGTGTGACCGAAAGCCCGGGGGAAAAGTCTGAGGGTTTCTTCATAGCTCCTCAGATGGATGCCTCTGCCATGCTGGGGAAAAAAAGTCAATCCCAAAACCAAACCCCAGAAACAAACATTATTATGGCAAGCCGTGAGCGAGCTACGGAGAGAAGAGAGTGTTTTATTTCCATACACAGTACAAATCGGTCACTCGAAGTGTAAAATAAATAAAACAAACCCCGTAATCCAAGATTACAAAGCAGATTCCAGCAGCCGGCACGCAGCAGCCCCAGCAGATTTCGGCGGTGAAGGGGGAGAGGATGGAGCCATTCCCAAGCTGTGCCGGCACGAGCATGTAGATGCTCTCATCTAAATTTTACCTGCATTTTCTCGCTAGGTATTGCTACTCAGGGCATCAGGAATAAACGAATTCTCGATCGGCAGCACAATTTAAACAGCCCGACCGCAGCCCGCAGCACGAGTGCGTTCAGTTTGGACCATTTAGGTGCCAGGGATTTACTGGCATTGCTTACAAAGCCGCTGCTTTGCTGAAGTTTGCACACCGTGAGCTTCTAATTCAGCTTTCTGCAGCAGCAATGATTTTTTTTTTTTTTTTTTTTTTGCCGGAGGGGGAGTGGGGGCTCAGAAGCCGGAGGTGCTTTAACAGGCTGGGGTGTCGTGCGGTGGAAGGCGATCGCTGTGCTGCCGGTGAGGAGGCAACAGTGGTCTTTGAACGCCAAGAAAAACCAGAAAAATTAAAAAAGGATATTTAAAAAAATCATTTAAATAAATCAGAGCTTAACTGGAGCGCTGCGTCCTGTACATCTTCCAAATGACTACGTTAGCATCCCTCCTCCTGTCCCAATCCCCCGTTCCTTCAAGACAGCACAACCAGATCCCACCTTCGAGAATAAACCACTCTGCAAAAACATACGGGTCACGGGAGAGCCACCCACGTCACTGACTCCAGCGATGGGGGATCCTCCTTTCCCACACCGAGCTCCGGCTTCGCCTGCACCGCGCCTTGCACTGTATACCTGAGAAAAAAAAAAAACCAACAAAAAAAACAGAGCTGAAACTCCCCCTGAGAAAGGCACGAGCCAAAGGAAATCGAAACCGGGGTAGAGCAAAGCAGCCCGCAGCCTTTCCTCTCTTTTCCAAAACCCTCCTGTGGCCGTGGAAATTAACGGCACGGAAAACGTCAGCACCTCTGGTTTGTCACGGGTCCCCAAATTTTCCCAGCACCGTTTCCTTCCCTCCTCGGAGCCGCAGCACTTGCAGGAAACGGTGGCAGCAACGCTCCCGCGCAGCTGAGACCAGTGTCTCTGGGGACTGTATTGATCCCCTTTCCTGACCAGGGCTGGTTTTAAGAACCCCAAATTTGGGCCAGATCTGCCGTCTGTGTAAATCATGCACGTCCAGGGACGCGACGGGAGGAATTGCATTTTACACCAGCGGTGGATCCGGCTCAGCTGCTAACCCACCTCCGACACCCACCCATCCCACGCCGGGTTTGGGGCTATATTAAGGTTTTTATCATGTGCAGCAGTAACTCCCATCGCTTTGTATATCTTAGATTCAAGCAGAGGAATCACCCGCCTTTAAAACGATTGTCTAGAATCACAGAATGGTTTGGGTTGGAAGGGACCTTGAAGATCATCGAGTTCCAACCCCCCTGCCCTGGGCAGGGCCACCTCCCCCCAGCCCAGGTTGCCCCAAGCCCCGTCCAACCTGGCCTTGAACACCTCCAGGGATGGGGCAGCCACAGCTTCTCGGGGCAACCTGCGCCGGGGGATCAATGCACTAACAGGCAAACAGTTATTTGTAAAAAGTCCTTCCCCAGCTCTCCTGTAGGCCCCCTTTAGGTACTGGAAGGCTGCAGTAAGATCTCCACAGAGCCTTCTCTTCTCCAGGCTGAACAGCCCCAACTCTCTCAGCCTCTCCTCATAAGAGAGGTGCTCCAGCCCTCGGGTCGTCCTCGTGGCTCTCCTCTGGACACGCTCCAGCAAGGTCCATGTCTTCTTATGGTGGGGACTCCAGAGCTGGAGGCAGTACTCCAGGTGGGGTCTCACCAGAGCGGAGCAGAGGGGCAGAATCCCCTCCCTGGACCTGCTGGCCTGTCTAGACATGAGATAATACGCTCTAACTAAGCAAAACGCTTCGAGGTCATTTTAAAAGGCGACCTGCCTCCTCGCAGATTCCCGAGCCTCGACGGAATTGAGTTTTTCCTTTTAAAGTGCTCACAAAGCTACTTTTATGCAAGTTCACTTCAAGCTCCTGCCCTGGGATCTCTCATATTAGACAGGTCGCATTAAATCGGGGCTGTTCCCAAGGAGGCAGAGGCTGGAGAATCCGGAGTTTGCAGCCCAGATGTTGGGAACACCAACACGTGCGAGTCAGCTCAACAGCCCAACGGGATCTTCCATCTGCTGCGGCGGCTGCTTATGGGCCGTTTATTTAAACAGGAAAAAAATAAAAAATAAAGGCAGGGATTAAATTCAATCAAATTAAGCCCCACGTCCACTACAAGGAGCAGAAATTAGCTCTGGGAAGAAGGACCTCCAGGTTTGCCTGTTATACCAATGACAGTCCCAACTGTCCCCGTGCCGGCTGACAGCAGCGGGCGCGTGAAGAGTTAAGATAATTTAAAGAAAATATCTGAGGAATTCTTAAATGAGAACACACATCCTTTGCTTGCCACCCACCTCCCAGAACGGGGTTTTTTTTTTGAGCGAGAAAAATCCAACGGCTTTAATACCAATCTCTTCTCCCGCAGGGTGGCTGTATGACTACACCCAGACATATGTCTGCTCTTTCCTCTTCGCTGGAGCCTGTGCTCTCATCTCACCTATTTCTTTCTTCTTCGAACCTTCGGCCCAGAAATGGAAGCTAAAAAAAGCCAACCTGAACAATGACCCCACGGTTGGATGAAGCCATTCCTACGGTGGCAATTTAAAAGGCTGATTTTTGATTGCATCCACCATCGGGGAAACGATCGCTGGCACAGACCTTCCGTACCGGGAAATATAAACAGCAGCAAAAATGAAAACAGGAATTTTTAGATGACAGATTCCCACTTTGTATATCTAGATGTTTCTCCTCCATGTGTGATTAAACCCACCTTACAAATACATAGCGTAAAGCGTGATGGAGAAAAAAAAAATAAGGCCCACAGCCCCAGTGGACACGGGTTTCATTTTTTTTTACTTTGCTCCTGAGCCGTGGTTTTCTGTATCTCTGATTTATCCCTCCCCCCCGCAGCGTTCAGCCCGACAGCTCGTACCGCAGCCGCGGAGCCGCCCCTCAGCTCCCCCAGCGCCGCGCGGGAGCGAAGCTGACTCACCTCTTGCGATGAAGCCGCCAAAGACCTCCGAAGTGCCAAAGCACAGCAGGAGATTTGAGCTTATTCTATTTAGACACAAATAATTAGCCCCGGGGAGGGATGCGAGGACAGAGGTGGTACAGAGAGAGAAGGATTAAAACTTCCAGGAGGATGCGGAGAATGGCCGTTCCACAAAATCCTCTTTTTCATGGAGAAGGACGCTGCACCACGGCCGCTCGTTCTCCTGGGCACGGTGTTATCTGCCCACAGCGCAGAGGACCTGCAAGCGAAACCAATTCTAATTAAAACCAGTACCAAATAAAGCAAATGTAAAGACCGTTCCCATCCCAGAATCCCAGACTGGTGAGGGCTGGAAGGGCCCTCTGGAGCTCCCCCAGTCCCAGCCCCACCAGAGCAGGGGCACCTCCAGCAGTGGCACAGGACGGCGTCCAGGCGGGTTTGGGATGGCTCCAGAGGGGGAGACTCCCCCACCTCTCTGGGCAGCCTGTGCCACTGCTCTGCCGCCCTCACAGCAGAGAAGGCCCTCCTCAGGTGGAGATGGAACTGCCTCTGGTCACCTTTGTGCCCGTTCCCTCTTGTCCTGTCACTGGGCACCACTGGAACAGACCATTCCCATCCCCCCGGCACCTCCCTTGAAGGATTGATCAGCGTTGATGAGATCCCCCTCAGTCTTCTCTTCTCCAGACTGAACAGCCCCACGTCCCTCAGCCTTTCCTCGTAAGAGAGATGCTCCACTCCCCTCAGCATCTCCGTAGCCCTTTGCTGGACCCTCTCCAGCAGTTCCCTGTCCTTCCTGACCCGGGGAGCCCCGAACTGGACACAGTGCTCCAGATGGGGCCTCACCGGGGCAGAGCAGAGGGGGAGGATGACCTCCCTTCACCTGCTGGCCACACTCTGCTTGATGCCCCCCATCCCTCAGACTCCTCTCCCCTTCTCCCCATCCTCCCCTGGGGCTCAGGGGACCCGCGCCGGCAGGTTCCAGGGCCGGGCAGCGATGCTGAGCCTATACCCAACCAGGACCCTACAGATCTCATTCGGACACGCAAGATGCAACACAGCTGCTTTGATTTTCTTTCCAGTAGCAAGGATGCAGTTTTTCAATGCGTTATCACCAGATATTTGAATTTCTGACACGGATCTGGGATATCATAAGGGTTTTACAACCATTCCAGATACTGGCATTATCTTTTCCCCTCTTTTATTTTTAATATTAAACCAAGAGAGTTGTTTCCCCTACAGAAACACTCCTTTAAACTGTCAAATGGGTTACTTCAAGCACGAAATTAAGTGGTCTCTATTTAATAAAAAGCTACAGAACGTTGCAGTGGTGTTAAGGAAGTAAAATGTTGCCGCAGGCAAGAATCCCCTTGTGGATAATGGGCCAAATTCAGCAATTCCACAACTACACAACGCCAAAGGAACCAGGCGTGCTTAAACAAGGGAAGTATTTAGCCTTGAATTTGCAGAAGACGGGAAATATCAGTACTAGAAAGTGGTTTATTTTTCATACGCCGATTCCCAGCTTCTCGTAACTCCTGCAGGCAGCAAGCGCTTCAGAAATGGTCTTTTTTACACCTTAACCACTGCAAACACAGTCTGTGATTCAGACCAGTTAATAGCCACATCCACGAGAAGATCTCCAGTGGGTCATCTTCTGAGCAACCGGGGTTTAAGGATAAAACTCTTTAAGAAGCATTTAAGGCACCGGGAGTTTGCGAGGGGCGAGCGGGCACCGTGCAATTTGGCCCAAGCCAGTCGCGCACTCCGCTTTCACCGATGCCTCCTGCAGCCGGGCTGAAGCTTTCACTTGCAAATTTGAGTTTTCACCTCTTGGAACATTAGAGTTCATCACTCTCTTACTGAAGAAATCATAGAATGGTTTGGGTTGGAAGGGACCTTAAAGACCACCTAGGTCAAGCCCCACTGCCATGAGAAGGGCCACCTCCCCCCAGCCCAGGTTGCTCCAAGCCCCGTCCACCCTGGCCTTGAACACCTCCAGGGATGGGGCAGCCACAGCTTCTCGGGGCAACCTGCCCCAGGGGCTCACCGCCCGCACAGTCAACCACTTCTTCCCAATATCTCATCTCAATCTCCCCTCTTCCAGTGTCAAACCATTCCCGCTCATCCCATGGCTCCCCTCCCTGATCCAGAGTCCCTCCCCAGCTCTCCTGGAGCCCCTTTAGGCACTGGAAGGGACTCTGAGGCCTCCCTGGAGCCTTCTCTTCTCCAGGCTGAACCCCCCCAACTCTCCCAGCCTGTCCCCATAGCAGAGGAGCTCCAGCCTCTACCAGCAGCACTGGTTTCCTGCTGTAACAGGAACAATTAGGAACGCTTGGCTTTACCTTTTCCAATCCAAAAAGCTTCAAAAAATCCTCTTGATCTGCATCCCTCTAACACGTATTTGAGCTTTTCACTACTAAGAGTGTGAGACCCACCAACCAAAGCAAGGCGGGGAGGAAGAAGAGCCAACACACCACCTCCTCACCCCGCTGCTCTCGCTCGACACGATTTACAGCCCCGATCCCCACGCCCCAACCTCTCCCTCTCCCCGTAAATACAGCCGCTCTGCTCAACACCGTTCTCCTTTCAACACGAGCCCCGCTACGTTTTCACCTCTTTTGCCACCAAGAAACGACTTGCAGTGGGATGCGGTGTCCACACCTCCCATCCCATCTGCTCCAACTAACGGGCTCCCTGTAAAAGCTCCAGGTTTTTAAGGAGGAGAGTCCTCCCCTGTCCTCTCCAGAACAACACATGCCACCAATTCCTCCCCCTTATTTAGAAAAATGGGGCTCCCGAGCGCTCAGACACTCTCTTTCCTCCTGCAAAGGAGCAAACAGCTCAGGAGCTCCCATTTCCCACAGCATCTTACCCCACAGATGGGGCACCACCAGCCTTTATTTGCCCCCCAAAATAATTCCGCAGGGGCCAAGTACCTCTCTCTGTCCCCCATCGCCTCTCGTCTATCCAAAGAGGTTGAGAAAAACAATCCCCGTGATAAGAAACTCCCGCCAGCTGCCCTGCAGGGTCCTACCATCGGGCTGAAAGGTGGGAGAAAAGTCTTCAAGGCTCCATCCCTGCACTCGAGGAGGCTCAGGAGAACCTCCGGCCGGCAGATCCGCTTCTCTCCTCTCACGCCGTTTCCTGGGAAGGTAAGCACAGAGCGGATGGTTTAGTTCCCGTCGCAGCTCTGCGGACTAAAGCCGTTGATTTACTTGCAAAACACACACAACGCGTACATTCGAGAAACAAACAGCAACGACCAGGGGAACACCCGCCTGGAGGAAGATTTTTTGCCATCCCATTGAAGTCATCGTGCAAATAACTCCGTAACGGCGGTTTTGCACAGCAAAGAGCATCACACGCTGTTTGGATAAACGCAAAAGCAGGGTTTGCTGGGACCCAAACGAGTTGAAAAGCTGTAATCGCTCAGGTTGACTCGCAAATCCCCTTACTCAACCGCAGAGTAAAGGGTAGAGAAAATGAGCAGCAGCGGCTTAATGTGATCTTCAGCATGAAAAATGCTCTGCTGAAATGTGGTTCCCCCCCTCCCCGGCCCTCCCTCCTGCTCCTGGGAAAGCGGCAGCACAGGACTGGATTCCCTCCTGCTTTCCAACCCACCGGCACCTCTCGAGCACCACCTCTGCACTCTGTACTGGAAAGAAATTGCTAACCACCTCCTAGAGGTCTTTCCAAGAAAATAATTTAGCGTGCAATAAATAACAATAATAATAGACCTTGTAAAACTAAGGATAACCTCAGCACGCTGTCTGGAGCCACTCGCTGTAACATTTTCCAGCCCCAAGCTCATAGAATCATCATAGAATGGTTTGGGTTGGAAGGGACGGTGAAGATCAAGGTGTTTGTTTTACCAGACTTATGTTTTTAAGACATTCCTGTCTAAGGTATATCATCACAGTGCGAGTCAGAAAGCCTCGGTTTCCCTTGGTAAATGGGAACATCTTTATATTTTTTTATTTTATTTCATGTCTGTCCATGCTCAAGATGGGAAGTGATGTGCTTTTTTTTTTCTGTCCTGCTTTGAGCTCCCACCATACATTGCTGCTCCGTATTGCTGTGTCAGAACAGCGTAGTTGTCTTAGGCTTCAGGTCCCGATTCCTTCAACTCCTCAAAGGTGTTGCAGGAGGTAAAGGTGGCTTGTAGGAGTGAGCCTCTCACTAGATCAGACCTTACTCAAAGTTAAAGACTTGGTGCTGCTTTCAGAGAATGGCGGGAACCAGGCTCTTCTAGTCCCTGCTAGTTCTACGCTAGTACATATCAGAGAGATGAAAACCAGACTAAATAGAAGGTCTGAAAAGATGAAACTCTTGGATGGATTCCAACAATTTCTCCCTAATATCTAATCCAAATCTCCCCTCTTCCAGTTTGAAGCCATCACCCCTCATCCTACCACTCCATGCCCTTGTAAAAAGTCCCTCCCCAGCTCTCCTGGAGCCCCTTGAGGGACTGGAAGGACCTTTTAACAAAGGTTCCTCGCTCTGAAAGTGTTCCAAAAATTCCTGCCAGGAAGATGGCGCAGAGAAACCGAATGCTAAAGATCTCTCCAAAAGTGACGTGCAGGCTACC